GCATCCCATCAAAAATACAGAGGCTTTTTTTACCTAGTGTTTCCCCAAAGGAGAGAAAAAGCAGGATGCACACAGCAGATCATTTTCAGCTGCTCACCAGAGTCTTAGCTTGCTTTCTATTTTGTAGAAGTCCATTTCTAGCTGTTAGAGCTGTGACAAAAATGCAGCCATGTATGCCAGAGGCAGAAAGCATTTCCAGAGAATTTGAAATTATCATCTTGAACTAAGTGTCCCACGCATTCCAAGTAGAGCCAAGAATAACACTTTCAATATTGTTATTATTAAGAGACTGTTTTTTTTTTTTAAATATGGAAGCAAGGGAAGTAAGTAGATCCAAAAATGTTCACCAGTGTTCCCCAAGACAGGAGGAAGAGTCACAAAGGACCAGCCAAGGATGGAGCAGAAGATGAATACATGACGATATTTAAAACTTTGACAACAGGTTTGTGAGGCATAAAATTTGTTCTACTTCTCATAAAGGGCAGCTCAGCTTTCAAAAGTTTGGGAAATCCTCTATTAATCTTTGTCAAATCCACACAGTGGGAAATGTTGAGGCAAGCCTTTAATGCTAAATATGCCTTAACATGTGCCAATCTTGTCTAGGATTTTGTGGTTTTCCCTCAAGCACAGAAAAGAATCAAGAGATACTATAGCAGTTTTTAATGTTTTTTATTTTCATCTACTGATGTCCAAATTACACTGTGTGAACTGGTTATTCCTCTTCTTATGCCAGTCATCTTGTGTACTGCAAAAATGTGAATATGCTGAAGTAAATAAAAATAGTATTAATGGCATATAACTCAGAACTGTTGGCAGTGTATCCACAGATGCTTGAAGCTGTATACCTAGGGTAATTTACCTTCTGGTGAAACTTCTTGCTGTTGTGGATGGGCAGTGTCTGTTAGTACGTCTTTAAACCAGAAAAAAAAAATGAGGGGTGGTGTGAAGACACTGCCTTCTGGAGCAAGCTTATTAAAGCTTTTTCAGGTTTAAATTTCGCCACCTCTTATGGACAGCTTGACTAGGAGGCTTGGATGAATGTTAATGCAGCTGTTCACTTTAAAATTATACTGTCTCTGATTCTTTGTCACAATTCCTATTTCATGAAAAGCAACCAAGGAACCCCAAGCTGTGGACAGGCAGGTGGCCAGAGCCCATCCAGGCTTCCAGGGTTGTTCATGACTGTGCTGGAAGAGATGAGGAACCAGAGTGACCACAGGAGGGACTGGGGGGGGTCATGGCAGGTGACTGCAAATTAATTTGGAGGGACTGTGAATGTCATAAGAGGAACTGGCCACGGCCGAACTGGCTGATGGCCATGTGTGAGGTGTCACTGGGACAGGCTTTGGGGTAGGCTCCAGGATGAGGTACTTGGGGTCCTGAAGTCAGAGGCACAGCAGAAACCATGGAGAGTACCACTGGCAAGCAATCAGCTGTTACTCCAGGGATGCTACCTGCATTCAAACCAAGGTCCACAGAGCCCTGCCACTCCGGGATACCTGAATCTGAAAAATCCTGATTTTTAAGACTCGTATCTAAGAAGCAGTGATGGTGACTGGTGATTTACATCTACTGTGTTTAAATCGACAGTAGCCATCCAGCCTGAGCCCCCCTGACCCCGGGGGCGTTGCCGTAGCAGGCAGGGTCCCATGGAGGCAGCGGGGCTCTGGGAGCCCCTTGCGCCTCATCCCCGCGGCTAGAGCAATTCAAGCTCTGGCTCTTTGCATTCCGGGCCGCCGTGCTCCCCACGGCGTCGACGGCGCTGCCGCTGCCTCCCTGGTGGGCCCGAGAGCTGCTCCGGCCCCTACAGCCCCGCCGGTCGGGACCGGCCCCTTGGTCTGCGGGCCAAACCTCCACGCAGGGCTGTTTCCAGCGCCACTGTCCGAGTGGCCCCTGGCCCGGCTGCGCCACCGGGAGCAGCTCCCAACCCCCCGGCGCCGCGCCTCCTCCCGCGCTGCGACTCATCGCTGGTGTCTCTTTGCTTTACGCTAGAACGTAGCGGCAGCCCATTTCTCAGGGAAATCGTGCTTTGTGTAACTGAATTGACACTCGGCCTTGATACCTGTATCTCCTGATAACTGAAACAAATTTCTAAAATAAATATTGTACTTTGATCTTCCAGCCCTGCATTTTTAATGACAGCTCTGAACATCACTTCATTAAGAATACATTTCAGGAGACTGAAATGCTCCGAGTTTGAACACTAATTATTTGTACAGAAAATTATGACTGCAACGTTTCATTTTTCAGCCCATTGGTTTCTTCCAGAAATGAGAATTTATTCTCGATTTTTAGGTAATGTACTTTCTTGGATGCAGATTTATATCATTTGTAGTGTGGCAGCTGTATAGAAATTTACCCAGTTTTCCACTAACTCTTTTGCAACTTGACAAAACATTTTGATTCGTCGAGATACCTGGGGAAATGGCGTGCTTTAGAGAATGGAGGGAACCTTGGGGTATCAGTGTCTCCTGATCTACCTATCCCCTCTCATTTCCTTTAGAAACATTGTTCTGAGTATTCATCTGGTAATTACTAGGTAAAACGAATTTTTAAAAATCGAGGTAGGGGTTAAATAGGGTATCTCTCATATGTCTGGACTTGACATAAGTTTGAAGATACAGAGGTTTAGGGACAACGCCGTTTCGTTTGTCTAGTGAGTTATTGCTCTTCCGGGAAGAAGACGTGCGGGTCGGGCTCCCCACGTGGGGTTCTCCCTCTGCTCAGGCTGCCCCAGCTACAGCTTAGACTCGAGGGGACAACAAGTGCGCTCCCGCCCCGATGCGGCTGTAGTGGCGCGGCTGGAGCTTGGCAGTGAGCGGGGGCACCCGACGGCTGCGGGCGGGGGTGCGCGGGGCAATGCCTGTGTGAGTGCCCTCCCAGCCGCGCTGTCGGCCGGGGCTCGCTGCGGTTCCCCGGTAGCCGCCACGTCCCGTGTTGACGTGGCGCAGCCCCCGGCGGATCGCTCATCGGCGGTACTGGGAGGGGTTCGTGTCTGGTGGATGGAGGTGCCGAACCCCGTGAGCCCCGCACCCGTGCAGGCGGATGGGGAGCTCTATCGCCCGCAACCTCACACCCTGGCGGGAGCTGCTGCCGGGCCGCGGAGTTCTGCAGCAGCGGCGAACCTTGCCTCGATGCATCAGTGCGTGGTAAAAGTGCTGGGTGCGGGACTCATGTCTTCCTGTGGCCAGCCTGGTAAGCAGTTACCTGGCACACGGGAAGAGCTTGATACGACTGCTGCGTAGTGTTACATGGATAGAGCTTTTATTTCTCCCCAGGACTCAATATGGAGCCGTGGGAGAGGACTTGGCACTTTAATCCCTTCAAAGAAACCGATCTAATTCAAGCCCTACAACTCTTGAAAGTCTTTGAGCGGACAGTGATTGTTTCCACAGGAAAGGCAGATAAAGATCTCTGTGTGCTGGCGTTTAAAGGGACTTCAGTGGCGGTGCGAATACAATTGAACCCAGCGACTGCGGGGAGGATCGAGTTACCTGTGCAAACAGCTCCGGAGGACCAGAGCCAGCCGGCATCTGCCCCCACCTCCTCAAGACGGAGATGAACGTCCTGGTTTGGTACCTGGCCAAACAGGCCGGCGTTTGCGATGGCCTCGGAGCAGATGGGGAAGCGGGGAGGAGAGGAGCGCGTTTCCAGGGCCCCCGGCGGAGCGCGGAGCTGAGCGGGCCCGCGGAGAGGCGCGGGGCCCCGCCTGCCCCTTGCTGGGCGGCACATGTGAGGGGGCCCGCCAGCTCTGCAGCCCACTGAGCTCAGCAGCCGACGGGGACGGCAAGCTGTGACCCAGATGTGCCTGGCGCTGGTTAGAGGGTCAATAGCCTCACACATGGTCGAACGCAAGGCAGGTTAGATCCTTCATATACACATGCGTATAGAGATGTATAGGCAGAGGCCGAAAAGTGCGGGATGAAGTAACAAAGCGCTTGGGGCCGACTTTGTCTTTGGGGCAGGAGGTGAGAGCAGGGGAAGCAGAGACGCGGTAGCAGCGTTCGTGCTCCCGAGGAGCCACTGCGATGTCCGCTCCCCGCCAGCGCAAGACAGGCTGGCTCGGCAGGCCCGCCAAGAGAGACTCCGGTCTTAATTTAAAGAAATTATATCTCTTACAGCCGGCTCCCGCCAGGGAAGAGGAAACTTTTCCTCTCTGTTTCCCGGCTGCCCGGTTTGTCGGTGTGTCTGTCTGAGAGAACGCTTGCTGCTCGTGGCAGCCTACCGCTCCTCCCCGGGCCCGGCTGGGCGCCTGGCCTGGCCCCGCGCCAGGCGGGGGCTCCCGGTAACAAGGGGGCAATGCCGGCTGAGCGAAGTGAAACAAATCCAGCTACCAGAGGAGAAAATGCGCGGTTATTTGCCGAGTCATATCGAGGGCATACCCCTCAGCCTCGGGGGAAGGGCGGGCGGAGGGAGGGAGCGGGAAGGAACCACCGACAATTACTCCAGGGAAGTTTTACGGCTGGGATCGACTAGCCCCGACCAGGTGAACTCGCTGTGTTATGTTACCTTCAGTCTTTAAACACTATCAGAGGAATCCGGAGGCAGATTCCTCGAGCGATAACAAAGACGCGTTGTCACTTTAGGGCTCTGCCACAAATTTAATTGGAAAAAAAAAAAAAAAAAGGAGGGGGGATCCAGTGTCTTGCACATCCAACGCGAGGGTCTCTAGGCGGTAAGGGGTCCTTTGATCAAGAAAATCCAATTATTTGTGTATATACATTTCCCACATAGTGATTACTTCATTAATTGTCCCGCCTTTATCTCCTCCCTTCCCATCCCCCCTAATAATCAGTTCTTTTATCCAGACCAACAAACACACCATAGGAGCTTTGTGGATTCAAAGGATTTGCTTTCGCTTCTGAAAGAGCCGCTATTCTTTGATGATTGGGTAGCGGCAAACTTCAAAGCCATAAATCTTCCCTCTGACTGGTTGGCGGCCCGGCAAAGTCCTTATCAAATTCTTGGAGGTGATCCTGGCGCAGTCAGACAGTCCGCGGAGATCGCGCAGCGCGGGGGGGTGGGACGCGCACGGAGGCGAAGAGATCAGAAGGAAAGGGAGAGAGAGGGGGAGAGAGAAGGAAACTGGGCAGCTTCTCGTCTTCCCCTCGGTGTCCTCATGCCTCGGCAGTGCCCCGGCGACTTCCCTTCGCCCCGGGCGCAGTAGCTATGGCCGCGGTGGCTGTCCTCCGGAACGACTCCCTCCAAGCTTTCCTTCAGGTCAGTACCCGCACCCGGTGTTGCTCGAACTGCACCGGTTGTGACCCGCGTTGCGCGGGGGCCGCTGGCGTCAGCCGCTTCCCTCCCGGGGCTTTCCCCGGCGGGCGACCCGGAGAGGTAGGTGGGGACCCCCGCGGTGGTAGGAGGCCGGGCTCGGGCTTCTCGGGCTTGTAACTTCCCTCTCCCGCCAGCAGCCCGTTACTCATCCCAGGCAGTGCTCCGTGGCAAGAGGTGTGGAGGGCGCGGGGGCTCCCTGCCCACAGCGGCTGCTTCCCCGGCCCAGGACGGCGGCAGGGCCGGCGGCACTGACCGCAGGCGGAACCGGTGTCTGGGCGGGGCGGGAGGGCCGGGCACGTCCTGCCCTCTGGGTGCGCATTGTTTTCGGAAAGTTTACCAGCTGTGCGGGGAGCGGCGGGCCGGCCCCAGCCGCGCACGGGCAGTGGTGCGGGAAGTTTCTCGCAGGCCGGTATCTGCGGGCGGCGAGTAACGCGCTCTCTTCCCTCCTTCCCTCCTCCCCTCCCTCCCGTTCCTGCGCAGGACCGCACCCCCAGCGCCTCCCCAGACTTGGCCAAGCACTCGCCCCTGGCTCTTCTCGCCGCTACTTGTAGCCGGATCGGGCAGCCGGGCGCGGCGCCCTCGGATTTCCTGCCGGTCTCCTACGACCCGACGCTGGGATCCCCCTCTAGGATCTTCCATCCGTGGAGCGGCGAGATGCCAGCGCACTCCCCAGGAGGGCTGCCGCCGCCGCATCCCAGCTTGGGGTTGACCCCTCAGAAGAACCACCTGCAACCCTCCTTCGGAGGTTCTCACGAACTGCCCCTCACCCCCCCGGCGGACCCCTCCTATCCCTACGAGTTCTCCCCTGTCAAGATGCTGCCCTCCTCCATGGCCGCCCTGCCGTCCAGCTGCCCGCCCGCCTACGTCCCCTACGCCGCCCAGGCCGCCCTGCCGCCCGGGTACTCCAACCTGCTTCCGCCCGCCCAGCCCTGCCGGCAACTGTCGCCCAACCCGCCGCCCGAGGACATCCCCTGGTGGAGCATCCAGCAGGCCAGCGCCCCGGGCGGCTGCGGCCACCGCTTCCCCGCAGCGGCGGCGCTGCCGCGGAGCCTAGTGCTGGGGCACTCGGACTTCGCTCAGTACCAGACGCAGATCGCCGCCCTGCTGCAGACCAAGTCTCCCCTGGCGGCCACGGCCAGGAGGTGCCGCCGCTGCCGCTGCCCCAACTGCCAGTCGGCCGCGGGCAGCGCCCCTGAGACGGAGCCGGGCAAGAAAAAGCAGCACATCTGCCACATCCCCGGCTGCGGCAAGGTGTACGGCAAGACCTCGCACCTGAAGGCGCACCTGCGCTGGCACACGGGCGAGCGGCCCTTCGTCTGCAACTGGCTCTTCTGCGGGAAGAGCTTCACCCGCTCCGACGAGCTGCAGCGGCACCTGCGGACTCACACGGGCGAGAAGCGCTTCGTCTGCCCCGAGTGCGGGAAGCGCTTCATGCGCAGCGACCACCTGGCCAAGCACGTCAAGACCCATCAGAACAAGAAGCTGAAGGCTGTGGCGGACGGCGTCAAGCGGGAGGACAGCCGCGACCTGTGACCGCCGGGACAGCCGGCGGCTGCTGTCTCTGCGGGCCGAGCCGAGCCGCGGCTGGACCCAGGCGGGGGGCGTTTCTCCGCCGGGGGCAGGGCGGCAGCGGCAGGGAGAGGGCGGCCGGCGCTCGGACTCTGGCCGGGCACGGCGAGCAGTACCCCGGCCGGGGGCTGCCTCCGCGGACCCTCAGGCCCGGGACTGGACGCTCATGGGGCCCCAGGGCCGCTAAGAGACAGGCGCCCGGCCCGGCCTGGAGCGCGGCCGAGGAGGAGACCCGGGCGCTGGGGCACGAGCGGGGCCGGCCCAGTCCGGCCGCGGGGGTCGAGGCTTAGAGACGCCTGGGGATGAGGTGGCAGCGTCGGTGTGGCCGTGCTGGGGCTCGGCCCTCGTGCTTTCAGGGTAACAGACTGGAGTTTTGTGTACAGGTTATTTAATAGTTAAGTTTGAATACACGTGTTCCCCTCCGTTCTTCGACCCCGCGCGGCGTCTAGCATGAGATGTTTCTGTAAAGCGACCCGCGACCGCAGCGTGAAATAAACACGTTCACACCGGGGTCAGCAGGGACGGTCCCGCCGCGTCGCTCTCGTTTGATCCTTCCCCGGCGCGCGGCCGCCGCCTTCCCGCCATTTCTCGCTGAGGCGGCGGGCCGGCTCCGGCTCCGGCTCCATGGAGGCGGCGAGCGGGGCTCAGTGCGCGGTGACCTGAGAGCCGCTCATGGTAAACACCTTTAAAATCCCGGCAGCTGCTTCGGACGGGGGTGCCTGTTGGCATTGGTTGGTGGGTTGGGTTCGGGTTTAGGTTTTTAAAGTTATTTTCAATATTTTGTTTCCTACACATGAAGGAGAGAAAATAGAGAAATGCATGCTGCCAATGCCAGTGCTGGGAATGAACATACAGGTCAAGTTCTACAGACTAGGATATACATTGGTGCAGAAGTGGGCAGTCAGTGTTAGTGGTGCCTCTTCTCAGAGAGGTCCAGGCCACAGGGCCAGTCCCAAACAGCCACTCCCAGCCTCGGCTCTCTGTGGCACAATAGAGCTAAAACATGCCTCCCGAATGTTAACTTCCTGTAGAACTGCAGAATTTAGGGGTTGAGATGCATGTTACACTGCCAGTACAACAAAACGGCAGTCAGTGTCCTGCAAAGGGGAAGACACTTGGCACAAAACTGTTTAGAAGCACCTCGTAGATAGTGACAGCCTTTAAGGTTCCTTATCTCTCACTGGGCATTACATAAGTATAGGCATATTTCTTTTAAAATAATAACTTCTCTTACTGCAGCGAGATCCCTATTTATTTTTTTAATTGGAATCTATGTTGCCAAACAAACTGAGCATCCTGATGAGTGATTTGCTTAATTTTGCATTCTAACATTGACAATACTCTTTATTTGCTCCTTATATTTTTGCAACATCAGCTTTATTTTCTGATTACCTAATGAGACAGTGAAATAAAAAGTGCCTTCAAAACTTCACCAGGACTAATCTGGAACTGTTCAGCTTCAGGTGAGATCCTCTGGTGGTAGTTTTCAAGCAAGCTTTGGCACAACTATGTTGGTAGAGATACACTTTGCCATAGACTTCTGAATCAAGAAAAAACACAACTTGATAAACATTTGTAATGACAGGACATGTAAAACAAATGTGTTTGTATGTATGTCAAATACCACCAAGATTACTTCAGATACTCTTGAATCTGAAGTAATGAGAAATTAATGGACAGTTACCATGGTACGTGTTGTTAACAATATTTTAATGTTTATTATTCTGAATTAATTTCCCACACCATATTCTTAGGGTCAACTTACAGAATTAATAACCAAGTGGCTGTCTTCTTTTCTACTGAACAATCTTCTATAAACTGTCATGTTTTAGAAAACATTGAGAGGAATATGTTTAGCTTCATTAGTTATCATTCCTTTGCCAAAATTCAGATGTCAAAAGTGTGTGGTTGAGGGATATTAAGTAGAAGATGTCTTTAGTGTTCCAGATGGAGTGACAGCAAGGCAAGAAATAAACAATGGACCTGATCCAGAAGTCCTTAGTAAAAAATCTTTGAGACAAAAGTGCATCCCGTTTACTGCTGATGTAGGACTGAAATATTTCTTCAGGAAATACAGTGTTTCTGTAATTTTGAAATGTGTTTGTGCAAGTATTTCTTACTTTTTAAAAGGTTTCATGGCACACAGTGAGTGGCAATCTGGTTCCTTTCTTTGCTATTAAGTTACATTAAGAATGTAGAGTTAGAGAATTTCAGATTGCTTTAAAAGAGGGTTTGTTTCACTAAATAGTCTTTCAATTCTGTGTGTGGATCAAAACTACTTAAAATGGAGAGTAGTGGAAAGTGCTTTTGTTGGTAGCAGTACAGGAAAAACAACAGTATGCCAGAGTAGGAGAGGTCTCTTACAGGATAGAATAATTCCCACATGGCGATGGCCTTTCTTGCTGAGTGAGTGCCAAGAGGAAGTGTTAGTGTGAGCTGAAGCAATGCCTTAGATGATTTCTGGGGCAAGTTTAGCCTAAGAGCAAGAGACCCCTTCATCTTAGAGCAGATGTAACTAGCAGAAAGTGGCCTGATAATGGCAGATGTGGTGATTTCTAAGCTGGACCCTTATGGAAAGATTTTTCTCCAGTTTGAAGACATGCTGAATTTGCCAAGCATCTTTGTTGTGTGGTCTAGCAGACTATTTTGGGTTCTTATTGCTTCCACAAAACTCAGCTTGTACTGAAATACTAGAAGTTTTGCCACTCACTGAAGTATGAGCCTGCAAATAATTTGGGTTTGAAGCAAAAGACAGTAGCCCAGCAATGTCAGTACCATTTCAAAGGGGTGGCGGTATCTGATTCACAAAACCAAACTAACAAAAACCAAAACAGCAAACAAACAAACAAACAAAACAAAACAAAAAACCCACCACATTGGTGTTGTGTTGCAGCCTATGCACCTTGTATATATGTGTAATGACTGCATTAAAGCTCGAAAGTGCACAGCTTAAAATACATAGTCAATATTAGTTAAAAGCCTGTCATGAGTGAGAGATGTATTTAAGTGAAAACCCATAGCATCAAATGCTAATGAAAACCTTAATCTCTAAGAATCGCACAAACACACACACACACAAAAAAAAAAGAGTTAGAAAATTAGGGACTTAGGAGACTTACTTAGGTAAGTGAAATTAACAGTTTATAATATAAAAAATATTTAATAAAACTATTTCTTTGTAAAGCTTTTAAATAGTTCATTCGGAAAAGGAAGTATACATGCATCATAGCTGTTTGATACTCATCTGTAAATAGCTAAATCATATGATAGCTTTTCAATTGAAATAATTAAACTTTTTTAGTAATATGGTATTTAAATATACATGTGACCTTTCTGATGTATAGGTAGAGCATTACAAAAATATATTGCTTACATCTCAAGAATTTATTTCTAGTTGCCAAATTGCACTCCATAATAAAATTAACTTTTAATTTTGCATTCACAAAACACATTTTATACTTTTAGCTGTTTCCAATCAACTAGAACAGCTGTTCATTTTATAAAATTAATTTATTAATATTATTCTTAATTATAAATTTTGAGTACATATGCTGCTCAAGGTCAATTCATTTCCTAATTTTAAAACTTAAATGTCATAGCTATAATAGACATATCATATAAACCAATTCATCTGGTATTTAATTCAAATAAATTAGCATCAACAAAAAAATGGGATATAGTAAAGAAGGTTGAGATTTGGTCTTTAACCAGAGAACATTAAAAAAAATTCACAACTAATCAACATTGTTTTTCAGATAGTTTGGGTTTTTTTAATATGTTGTTAATCAAATTAATTTTAGTTAAAGGTCAAATAGAATAAGACTTTCACCTGGGAGGAGGTTGCAGGATTGCCCTTTTGATCCTGACTGACCAGATTTTCATTGCAATAATCTAATAAATTTATAAAATTATGTTTCCTACCTCCTCAACTACTATTATAGAAAAATAGAAAGTTTTTTTAAACTATATTGGGAGATGTACTTTCTAAAACAATCATAGTGTAATTCTTCCTTCCATATTAAATTAAGGGTGTAATTTTTGAAAGAAATACTTAATCTTCAATTCTTTGCAGATTTTGTTAGATTGCATTTTAAAGTAACTACAACTTAACTACTCACTTGGTAAATTCACATAGCTAGTAATAGTGCTGAATACTGAAGAAATAGGGAATATAATATGCTGCTGTCTTGAAACTCTTAGATGAAAGATGAATTTTACTGTTCGGTGATATTCAATGACTCAGGACACCACTCAGAAGTTCATAAATAGGTCAAGTTTGTGTCTGTGCAAGTAGTCGCACGATTACTGAACCCTTTTAAATGAGTCTTGTAACATTTCGTGGATCTTGTCAGCCTATTCTCATACTGAGCAGTAAGAAACAGAAGTATAATGTCCAGCTTGTTGTCAGATTTGATAGTTTCCATAGAACTTTGTTTTTCCTCTGTTACAGTTTTTGGAATTATTCACAATTTTTATGAGATTCTTGTGAATTCTGTGGTAAAGATGTGGGGTCTGCCACTCTAACACGATAGAATCAGCTCAAAGACCTATTAGATTTTCCTGCCAAACTTTTAAAAACAACTTTTTACCAAAGAGGATCCCTAAATCTTCAAGACTACTGAACTTTCCTTCAAAGAGATTGCCTAGCAGGTATCTTCAATAACTTTGTATTTAAATATTGTCCAAGCTACTGAGGACCTGGAAATGTGCAGCACCCAGCACGGCTCACCCTTGTCAGGTAAGTGTTGGTATGCCACATAGAGAAGAAGGATCCAAGGCCCTAGGCTGATTGAAGAAATAGAAGTGCATGTAATCCAAAGGGTCTTTTAAATAACTTTATGGGTTTTATTCCTTGTTAATATTTACTCCAAAATGATTTGAAGTCATGTAGGTGTTTCAGTATGGATAATGAAAATCAAAGAAAACAAGCATGTATTTTGACCTTCTGACTCTGACAGGTCAGT